TTTTTTTGGGGGGGGTCATCCCAAAAAATGTCCGCTATAAGGGGGGGCCATGTGAAAAAATTGGTAAGCTGAGGGGGGCTCATGCGATTTTTAAATGGTGCTTCCCAAATCCCACCAGCCCCCCCTCCCTCATAAAAAATGAACGGTCCCTAAAGCTTGATGACTTCGCGCTTTCCCTTCGGAACTGCTCGTTTTTTTCAGAAATTAGTCCGGACAGTGAAACACGAGTAATTAAGACAGGCGCCAAAATTCTCACAATTTAACATTTCCACGAACATAGCTGAAAACGTAACTAGCACTTGCTAAAGAAAGGGAGAAAAGATAGAAAGAAATGTGAAAAAAAGAATGGATTGCCATCCGTTTTAAGCATTGATGTTCAAATATTCCCCACCTGTCGTTATCGTTCACCTGTTGCCAGGGGTGAGACTCCGGTCCCATATAAAAAGGACGAGGGTGTTCGTCGGAAATTTTGAAAAGAACTCCTAAGAGGTACCAAGATCTTGTTTTATGGGCGTGGCTTGTAATGATTATCACCCCTAAAAGGCACCAATTCTAAAACAACAGATTACCTGCTGTCATATATTTTTCGGCTCAAATCCAAAATGACCGGGGAGTGTTGCGTTTTCAAATTCCTTTGGCGCGGCGTGGAGGGAAAACATTTGATGCGTTTTCGGAATGAAATCGCGCGCTTTCAAATTTCTACCGTGTAGTGTGGACGGGGCCTAATAAAGTTTTAACAAGTTGAAGTCAGTTTTTCATACGCTGTCCTTTTAATGATCATGAATTTCTGCATAACATTGTCAAAGTAGCTGTGGATCCACGAGGCGATAGCCGATTGGATCCGCAGTCTACTTTGACAATTTTATGACGGAATTCATTGTCAACCACAGGACAGACGCATTAGAAATTGACGTCAATTTGGTTTTTACAATAACAAATTGTCAAAATGTCTATTCTCGCTCGTTGACGCAGCGGCGGCAGCGCATAAATTATAAATTCATGTGTCTGTCCGCTTATTGAAAATGACAATTCGGCACTGAGCACGCGAGAATTTCTGCAATTATCGTAAAAATAGATACAGATGTAAACAGTTACAAGGCAACAAATAGTAAACTAAAAGAAACATACGACACGAACTAAAAGAAACAGTATTTAACTTGATAACAGAATACATCATTATCATAAATGCGACTACCATATTATTATTAACAACGCAGCAACCAAAATTTTAATTTAAAAATTTTATAACGGCAATAATGGCAAGACGACAAGGATGTTAAAACCAATTAACAAATTCAGATATTAGCCCTTGGTAGCACGCAATTAGCAAAGATATTCTAGGCGAACTTCATAACCTAACCAAGAGATTTACATTATCATTATCAAGTTCAAAGAAAAACAAATAAACAAACGAACGAACAAACACTGTGATACTAAGACGTACCATAGTTCCATAGTTCCATAGTCTGTAGTGTTGTAAAACCAAAACCAAAGTAATCACTCTAACCAATCACAAAGGACACAGACGATACAGTGAACCAATCAAAGCTCGAAGCAAATACATGAAGCTGACGCAAAGGGCGGGAAAACCAGTGCGAAGAAGTCACCATTGGGTTTGGTTTTACTTCTGATTGGATGAAAAAGTGGCGCGAGTTTTTTAAGCCAATCGTGTGGCGTTATAAGTGCAAAACCAATTACTTTTCGACACTAAAATAAAAACCTCTCTATAAGTAATGTGTAAGTCGTGTGGAGGCTGCATCAGTTTCCCTTACATAACAAAACAGAACAGAACATGGTTTATATATTAATTTTTTCGTAATATATATTTTTATCTTACTTTTTCATGCCACCACTGTGGCTATTATTTTCGCAAGCTATTATCTCAAATACAACATCTCTTTCATTTAAGTGAATTTACCACAGCCTTAACAATTATAGCAATGACTTGATTCTTCCTGATTTCGCAATGCGCCTGCGCTTGTACCTAAATTTCAATCTTTGTGACGCAGGCAGGTAAAAATATATACCGTTGCCAGGCAACCACCTTTCGGTTACGGGAAGTAGTAAGGTTAAAAACACTTTTGAGATGTCGAAAATCCAAATATGGAAAATAAAAACTCGTAAAGGTGACAGAGCCGTTATTTACAAGGATTTATTGAAAAAAAAAACACACACACATATAGCAAAAATACATGACTTCCCGAACCCCGGGGTTTTAAAAAAATGATAATAATAATAAGTTTTTCCCTGACGCAAGAAGCATATATTAATTTTATCAGTGTTAAAGTCGCTGCTTAACGTACAAACAACCTGCTCAGAACAAAAACTGATTAATCCATCGATCTTGAACGATATGACAGTTCCTAACAAAGCTTTGCAAAAGCTATCTATATATACATGTATATAACAGAGCTAGCACGTAAAAATTTCTCCCCGTTTTTTACGGCATGTAGGGTAAAGCAAGTTCTTTCTCTAGGCACTATTGAAAAAATTTCAATAAATCCTGTCGACAAATGCAAATGTATGCAAATATAGTTTTGTTTAAAAAAACATTGTCAGTTGTTTTCATATCGGAAGTCGGATACAGGCGGAAACGAGAGAGATGATCACAACCTCTTAGGTATTATCCTTTATTTTTGTTAAGTTTCTTTCTTAACAGTATCTTAACAAAGCGAAGATGTTTAGCTAAATTCTTGAAATTACTTATTTTTCTAAAACTGAAATGTCGCTGACAAAACATACACCTGAATAGTAAATACTGCCAGTGATATGATATTGTGCATCTCGTATTAATGGCCATTTCGGTTATCGTACTTCTAGTTTCGAATCTGTAGTTTGTCTTTAAAGCCAAAATTAGAATAGACTGGTATAGGGGAACACTGGTTAGTTTAGTGATTATTCGCGAGAGCCATGCTATTGGCAAAAGAGCCGTCGAGATTATGTTAATTTTATTTCTCTTTTCTACTTATCGTTTTAGGGACGAGTAAAGTTAAAATACGCTAGCATTGCTGTTCTGACCCTCAAGCTAACCCGTTCCGATGTTAGATATTATTTCAATGGCAGATCCTGTCGTTTATTGTCGACCAATTTCAGTTCAAATGACAATTTTGAAATTACTCATAAGCTAGGTGGGAGGGAAAAAAAATTAACTAGAATAACAGTCGATGTGATTTCCTTCGTAAATTTAATAGCGGTGTTTTTCCTGTCATGTTTAACCCGTCACCTGACTCTTAACTGTATTTTTGTAAGCGCTGTTTTAGGACAATTATTACTTTTCATTAAAATTAATTCGGCTTAAATAATTAGAAAGGTAGTACAAGAGTGTAAAGTGTTGTTATATTGTCTCTTAGTTTTAAGCGTCATAGATTTGTTGCGTTACCGAATATTACCCAGTTGTGTTAATACTACTACAGTTTGTTTTCGCATAGATTATAAACACAATGTCTGTCTCGATACAGCTATAAATGTAAATGACTTCAACTTGTTTAAACAGTTCGGAAGGAATGGCTGCGATGAACCCTGGATGACGGCTGGTCGCTGCTTCAAGGAGTTTTCTGCTTCCTTATTTTGTCATGAAGCCCGAGTATGACAGCCATGGGGTTCCGAAACTGAGCTTGGCCAATCCTCGAGCACAAGTTTTGTTCCCGACAGGGCAGTATACTTACGCGTTTGGAAACACGCCCGGGTTAGGTTTAGCGGAGCACTTCGGAACTTCCAGAACTGACGACAGTTTGGAGATTTTGTTGCTAGGCTCGGGAGATGTTCGAAATCTCTTGTTCACAGTCTCTGAACTTTCGCAGCGACAGTGCGACACGATTCTTGCAAGTTTGTCTTTTCATCTTAATGATCACGACCCATCAATACTCGCCCGTGATGCCATCATTTTAGAGGTCGCGCTATCTATAAATCCTGACAGTGAGTTGGATGTGGAGTTCTTGTGGAATCTGTGGTATGATTTAGCGCTCTCTGGCGAGGAATCAAAGCGGCTGCAAGCGATTCTTGAAAATCTCACTTCGCCCAAATATGCGAGCAACGTGTTGCAGTTTGGTTCTAAGGACGTGTTTACAGAATGTCTACAAATATGGAACGATTGGCTTCGACTGGAATTGAATATTGATGATGTTTCAACACAGCGGAAAAGTTTAATGGTTTTTGGACTGAATTTGACACAGCATGAAAATCAGCCGGACATAAAGGAGGAAAACATGAACTTTCTTACTGCAGTTTCCTCGCTTACTAACACAACAATGAAACAACTGTTCTCGCCAATTGACGAACAAAAGCTTGGTCGCAAATGTCTACAACGGCCTAGCCCGTTGTATCAAGAAGTCTATTCATATTTCTTAAGCGGTTGTACTTCGGAGGTGCACACTAGTTCAAAAGTAAACCCGACTCTTATTCGTCCGTTTGAACACAAGTGGAAGGTCCATTATGGGAGCTGTCCTTTTTCAGGCTTCATTCCAATTGACAGGTATAAACATTCCTCATTTCTTGATCTGCTGTACAGGTTTTCGAAGTTATTGTTGTGATATATATTCAGGCACGTTATATGCAAGGTTGTTGTCGTGGTTAACTTTTACCGTAACCCTGGTTGGCCAGGTCCCTGTTCCATGTTTAGTGCTATCAATTTTCTGACTTAAAGCAATATTCATTGCAATTAAGATCAGTCATGAATTAACGATTTGGTCGTGCTTCGAATGGATGTGTCTGGCTGTTTTCAGCCAGAATTATGTCTGCGTCCGTTGTTACGGCTAAAAGCTGTAGTTTGGGAAGCACAATTTCCCGATCGATAAAATTAAAGTCACTAGTTATTTGTCCCAACCTCCTTTTGTTATGGGTACTAAAGTAAGCAAATCTAAGCAAAAATTCGTAATTTATGATTAACTTGCAACTAGAATATAGAAAGTGTGGAAAGTTTAATTCTTGTAACACAATAAGTTTTACAACAAACCTTTTTAATAAGAGTTAGTTTAGTTCTACAGATGGGACAAAGGCACCAAAGAAGCGAAAAGTAACTTTAAAGAAATATACTTAACTGGAAAAAAACGATTATCTTCCAATATGTAGTAGTCAAGAATTTACACAGGCTTCAGTATTTGTACAGTTAACTTTATTTTTCCTTTCATAAAGTGGCAATACATTGATAAATTTGTTAATATTTCAGGACTCGCTTTCAAAACAACAAAAGTTTAACTAAAACTTGCAAGGAAAAGCTTAAGTCGTTGGTAAAAAAATTTCAGAGCTTCGCTGAGTTTGAGTCTGATAATCCCCGTATAAAGGTACGTATAATAATTATATTCACGGTCTGTTGTGTAAATAACATTTTAA